TGTACACCCAAAACTAACACAATATTGTAAATCAATGATACTATAATTATAAATAAATAGTAACAATAGAAAAGAATAATGAAGTACTAGATATATCAACTAAGAACAAGGATAGATGTCATTTGCAATTCATGATTTTGTGACTTAAAAAAAAATAGTTCTTGATCATACATGAAGTTTTGTATTTGGAAAAATAAACCTACACACACTGAGGCAAAATGTATACCAAAACTCCCCTAAGTTTAATGTACGTCTTTTTAAATTCATTTATTAATTTCTATTCCTTTTCTTGAAATGGTTTTTAATAAAAACTTTACAGATAACATTACTCCTACTGATTTTTCTTAAGAATTCATAAAAAGACATTGATATTGTGACTTCTTGACTAGTATTATATTTCCCTTCTCCTATTTCTTTGTAAGTTCTTTGATTTTAAATTTTAGGAGTGATTAAGGTTGAGGTTTGGTATACTATAAGTATATATTTAGTCACAATGGTAATTTTATAATAAAGCACTTAAAATTGAGCACTTAATTATTTTAATGGAGGAAATAAACTTGTTGTTTTTGTAATAATAGCACATGGTAAAAACATGTTTAGTACTATTTACACTCTATCTTGCATAATGTTACCATAGTAAAATGGACTTCAATCCAAATAATGGAGTAAATAAATGACACATCATAGTGATAAAAGTGGAATAATACAGAGCAAAGATGAAAACAGATTATAAGGTCATCTACAACTCTGCACAAAGGTAATTACAGTTGACCCTTGAACAATAAGAGTTATCTTTTTTGCAGTTTATTGATTTTATTTTATTTTTTATACAGCAGGTTCTTATTAGTTATCTATTTTATACATATTAGTGTATAGATGTCAATCTCAACCTCCCAATTCATCCCACCACCCCACACCGCTTTCCCCCCTTGGTGTCCATACGTTTTTTCTCGACATCTGTGTCTCTATTTCAGCCTGCAAACAGGTTCATCTGTACCATTTTACAACAAGAGTTTAAACTGTACAGGTCCACTTATACACAAATTTTTTTTTCAATAGTAAATACTACAGTACTGTGATCCAGGTTTGGCTGAATCCCCAGATACTGAACCACAGAAAAGGAGGAATTGGAACCAGGGATGTGGAGGGCTGACTGTAAATTATACTCAGATTTTTGACTGTATGGAGGGTCAGCTCCCTGAACTCTCACGTTGTTCAAGAGTCAACTGTACTAGGTCTGTCATTAAAACCACCTTGGTGTCTTTCTTCCCACCAGTGCCCTCAACACATACATTAGGTTTTTCATTGTAGAAAGTTTGGAACAACCAGAGTAATACAAAGAATGTATATTTATAGGTCTTAATAATCTCTAGTAGTTCTATCATATGGAGATAACCATTGTTAACATTTTAGTTTATACTATCCCAGTCTAATACTTATATATATATTTATATTATGTACAATTTGTTTTGTATATGATGAAATAAAATTCATTTTTTATGGCAAGATGAGAAAAGTTTAAACATAAAATTTTTCTTTGCCTGGTTGGTCTTCCTCCCTCCCCTTTAGCATGTGTTGTGAATTTGTTAGCCAGATCTCCTTAGGAGATAATGTTCCTTCTTAACCTCACAAAGAGTCACAACTCCTTCAGAAAGAAAATAACCTTCCTTCTTAATCTTGTAAGGGGCCATGATAACCCACTACTCACTTTGTATGTGTACATCTGGATTGTGTAAACTGTCAACGATACATTATTTGACGTATCACACCTTGTCTCAAAAACTTATATAACTGTGCATTGAACTCTAATAAGTGGAACAGTTCTCAGAGCTTTCTGAAAGACTATCTCTTGGGTTATAATCCTCAGGTTGGCTTGAATAAAATTTTCCATTTCTTTCTTAGATCAACTATTGAATAATTTTTTGTCAACATATATATATGTTAATGCAAGTTCGTGGGCTCAATGCACAGTGAGGCCAAACAAACTGAAACTTCGGAGTGTGGAGCAGAGAAAGGTTTACTGCAAGGCCATGCAAGGAGATGAGGTGGCTCAGGCCCTAAAAAGCCCTGAGCTCCCCAAAGGGTTTCTGCAAAGCACTTTTAAAAGCCAGGTGAGGGAGGGGGGGTTGCAGGGTATGTGATCAGCTTATGCATTGTTCTCTGATTGGCTGACGGTGAGGTAGCAGGGTGGTGTCACAAGGGTTAACATTATCAGTCCTTAAACTCCAGGAGGCCTGGGGCTATGTGCTCAAGGTCAAGTAGTTTCTTCCACTTGGTGAGGGGGGTGGGGGATGTTCACATCTGGAAAACAACTCAGGAAATTTGCATCAAATACTACTATCTAGGTACTTCATAGAGGAGCTAAAGCAGAGGATATGGGGGAAGGCCTGTCCTGGGAAGGCCCCATGGGGTCCTTCTCGGTTACATATATAATTGTCTTATATGCTGTTTTGGTCCTTGTTTTTGTCATTATATATCTACCTTTTCCTCCATCATCAAATAGTCTTCTAAAATATGAAAGGAATGATTTGGGGGAGGGTATGGGAGGACTGTCAAATACATTCACAGGACTGTCAGATAGTCTTCTAAAATATGAAAGGCATGATTTTGGGGAGATTAAATTTTAAGCGAGTTATGGTTGCTTAAAAATCAATCTCTAAGAAAATTATTATGCATAAGAGTTGGCTAATTAACAAATAAATATATCCATGTTTTTATTAACATATACTTTAAAAAACTTCTTATATTACAAAAATTACATTTTGTTTGTGTTACTTAGAAAATAAATTCTCCTATAAATATACTTCCTCCTAAGCATTTGCTACATATTCTCCTAGTTACAATGAGCTTTTAAATGACTAAACAGTATTTTATCATATAGATTTACTGTAATTTAATCAATCCCCAAAGTTGGGCATTTAAGCTATTTAAAATATTCCATTATTAGTAAGTGTATTTTGCAGATCCCTGAACATAAATCTTTGAATCCTTCAACAAAATCATGCTAAATTCATCATATCCTATTCTTATAAACATATCATTATTAAAGTCACATGAATTTCAATTCTCCTTTGAACCTCAGCTTCCTTATCAGCAAAATAAGGGGATTGGGTCACAGTCCTAGTATGCTCTAACTATAAAAAATTCAAGTTCTAAACATAGCAGATCTTTAATAATTGGGTGAAACAATTTGTGAACTCTTAGAAGAAACATGAGACATATAGTTCACACCTTTCAAATGAAGGTAGTGTGTGTCTGTGTCTGTGTGTGTGTTGGAAGGGGACATACCGAATCATATAGGATGTTTTCTTCCCATCAATTTCACTTCAAGATTTGGGAATAAAGTTTGCTGTTGCTGTTTTTTTTCCTGTTAAATATATTAGAGTGAAATACAAAAATCACACTAATTTTTAAGATAAAAATAAATTCTTTGAAAAAAATGTCATATTTCTGAGTGTGTTCTTTAAGCTCTGCCCCAGAAGTCAGGACTTATCTCCCACTTTTATCAGGAAAGGATGCAAGGCTCTGATTAATAGAATAGGAAGAAGACTTATCAGAAACCATTTCAGAACTGACTACATTTTGAGACTAATTAGGACATTTGAAGTTGTCTTTGGCCCTGGAATCTAAACACAAATTCACTCCACTGACTCATTTGAGAACTTGTCAATATGTTAAGGTTTGTTTGACTTTACTAAATTAAACCTGTCCATCTTGCTTTTCTATAATTTTATGAAACTTCTAGCTCATTTCTTTTAAAACCAGAAGGCCAAAGTCCATACAGCAGGTGTAGCCTTTCTAAAAGTACCCATAGGGAGTACCGACCACTGAATATAATTTATATTTCTCATTCACTGCTTTGTAATTTTGCATCCAGTGGATGGTTTTTACTTTCACAATCATCAACCCTACTTCAAATGCTCTACATATGTTTATATTAAACATTGAGTTTGCTTTAAAAAAAAAAGTTTCTAAAAGACTTCAAGGATTAAGTAAAAAGAAACAAAAGCAGCCGGATTTTTTCTAACAGAGGTTGAAAGAAAATTTGATACATGAAAATTTGAATTACAGCATTTCAAAATCCAAATGGACTAGAAAGCCAGTTTTTCTTATAAAAATTATTTGTAGCAAGGCAAATAGCTATTAAGAGCAAACCTTGCCAGGGACTTGGTTTTTTAACTCCAAAACTAACACGCAACGTTCATAGGACACCAAATGACGTGCAAAGCAAGGTACACTCGATGTAGAAAATCTAAAAAATACCTCTGTACTTCTACTCCCTATATGGAGAGAGCAAATAACTTTTCCTTTCCTTTCCTTTTCCTTCCTTTAATCCATTTATTAAATTTTTTAAATTAACTTTTTGAAAGCGTCTGCTTAGTGGCCGAAATTGGCACGCAGGTACAAAAGCTTTAAGTCACGAATACGGTCCGACTGGGCCTCATTCCGTCAGGGGCGTCTCTGGACGGCCTCATCTCTCCAACTAAGAAAATACAGGGAACAAGCTCTCAGAGCGCCAAGGGACTAACTGCTTAAGAGGATCTTCAGTCTCGGTTAAACCTTCCTCCAAGAGCATTCTGGCACTGGCTCCTTTCCAGAACAGCTGAGGACGGGTGCTCTGGGCGGGGTATTCAGGCCAGACCCCGGCTCTGGGAGTGACCTTAGGACCCCTCCCTCCTCGGTCCCCAGTAGACCAGAAACTAAAATAAAATGTGTAATACAGCGACCTGAGGTAACTGCAAATGAGTGTGCAGCATCTTCTCAGGCGCTTAGAAACTCGCTTACGAGAGGAAGTGAGGGACCAAGGTGCCAGCCTCAGCCTCGTCAGGGACCACACACCGACCGACCGCGGGCTGACCCGGAAGTGCTCGGCGGCGGCCTCCACGGCGGGGGCAGGGGCGCGGCCAAACCGGCGCACACGCGCGCGCTCCCCGGGAACTCCCGCGGGTGGCTCGGCGCTTTCCCGGAGGCGCTCCCGAGCTGCCGCGGACGCCGCCAACATGGCCGAGACGAGCGAGGAGGTGGCGGTGCTGGTTCAGCGGGTGGTGAAGGACATCACCAACGCCTTCAGGAGGAACCCGCACATGTGAGTCGCGCGCCGGCGGTGCCCCCGCCTCCGCCGCCTCCGGGGGTCGTCGGGGGCGGGAGGGGGCGGGGCCAAGCCTCGAGCCGACCTCGGACTGCAGGTCTTGACCCGCGCGCTGCTCACAAGAGCCGACGGAGCCGGGTCGGGCCCCGATAGTTGTCGGCCGCCGCGGGGCCAGCTTTCCGCTACCGGAACAAGCTCTCGGGCGAGTCCTTAGAAGTGACCTCGGAAAATCAAAACGTTGCGACTCTGTTTGGTTCTCCTCCCTCCCACCCCTTTCCCAGGAGTTCACGAAACTCGAAAGACTTCACCCGTGTGTCCACGTCCCACATCCGTTTAAGGTACACGGTGTGGGTCTGTATGTGCTTTGTTAACACAACTCTTTTGAGGTTCATCCCGGACCTTGGTAAGAAGGGGTTACTGATCATCTTATTCTCCACGGGCCAAAACCCCCTCAGTTTACTAGCCGAAGGTAGCTTGAGGCTGCTTTTGACTTTCGCCTCACCTGTCCCAAAATCGTAGAGGAACTTCGATGAAACATTTTGTTTTGAAGGTGAACAGGGCATTCTCAAGAGAGTAGCTTCTGTAGACACAGGTTGGGTCTGGTGGGAAGCAGATGAAACCTCGACACTTTTTAGCATTAGCTGATTCATAGTTACAGGGAGCATATTAATTCTTTTTTTATTCAAACGCTGCTGCCCTCTTTAAGTAGGACACCACAGAACTGACACATGTTATCTTTCCCTCCTTCCTTTCCATTTTACTTGGAGTACTCCGGGAAGATCCGGTAAGAGACTGTATTCTGTCTGATACTTCTGCTTTTATGTAACGGAAAAGAAGCTATTAAAGGAGAGATATATCTACACATTGTACAAAAGAGTAAGGAAGAAGCAAGAGTGTAGCTATTTTCCTATCCTTCCTCCCTTCATCCCTCCTCCCCTCAAGAGAAAGAAACATGGAATCCAGTTTTACATTGTTTTCACTTTACCTAATTGCTTATGGAGTTTTGTTGTTTTAAAAAATATTTTATTCTTTAAACTGGAACGCATGAATTATTCTTTTTAAGCATTCTAACTTCTTAAGGTTTTCCGCTGAAAAGAGGTGCCAAACCATCTAAATGAAGTGTTCTTTTCCTTCAAGGTGATGCCCTCAGATGTCTTGCTCCCTCGTGCCACACAGTTGGAGACCTGCAACTGTGCCTCATTAAAAACAAGACACTGCTGGCCTCAAAACACACCTGCCACCTCTGACAGCGTCCACTTCCTTTCCCCTTGTGACTGCTGCCTTTTTCAGAATGAGAGTGTTTGGAATGATTTCCTGGCAGTAACCATAGTGGGCACTGGGCCTTCTAAAGAATGCTTTGATGCCTTGTTGTGTATCAGTCTTTCAGTCCCCTTTTGAGAATGAGAGCTTTAGTGCAAATAAGAGACATTCTCAAAAAAAAAAAGTTGGACAAATGAAATGACTATTTTCTCATCATTTGGGGTTATTTTTCTTAAAGAAATTGAGGAGGTTAGAAAGAAGTCTAATAAGTACAGTAATCATCTTAGTTTGTCTTCTTTGAAGTAGACTAGAAAAGCATCAGTATTTCATATTTGAAAAAACTTGAATTTGAGTGTTCATTGGCCTGGCAGGTTGACACAGTGCAGTTTGGAACACATCCCAGTTCTTCTGGATCATATTTATTGAAACTCATAAAGGACTTTAATGCCCCCCCCAATCGCATTTTTTATGAGATCTCATCAATGTGCTCTGTGCCAGTGCATAACTTATAATTATTAATAAACATTTGGGTCATTCAGTATTTTTTAAAGTTTGAAATAATTTGAGCATTTGAAAAAATATGAAATAATGATATAGATCTGAAAATTTTAAATAGCTTAACTCATTGTTTAATATTAATTTTCAGCTGTATTTTAGTACATATTCCCTACAGTAACAGTATCTCCAGTAATATTACAATGCGTCTTTAAAAATGTCTTATAATTTGGACTTTTCAAAATTGCTCATACTTCCTCCCTTCATCTAACCCTTTTACTTCCAAAATATATATGCTCTATTTCTAGTTAAAAGAAAAAGGCATCATTTACCTTCAAAGTTAGTACCTAATTACACTTTTCAGTATTATAAAAGAAAGTTTTTTATTCTTTTTGTTTTCCTCTTTTCTACAAATACAAGATAGATCATAATTTTATTAGCCAGCATCTACTACAGTAAATATATTGACTTTGTCTCTGGAAATTTCTAGCCAGTAGGAGTTGAAGATATAATGGGTGAAATGTGGGTTTTGTTACTGGTGGGTATGGATAGGTTACCCTTTCTCAGCCTGTTTCTACTTTCTCTCTTTTTTTTTAAAATTTATTGATTTAATTTATTTATTTTTGACTGCGTTGGATCTTTGTTGCTGCACACAGGCTTTCTCTAGTTGTGGTGAGTGGGGGCTATTCTTTGTTGCAGTGCGCGGGCTTCTCATTGCGGTGGCTTCTCTTGTTGCGGAGCATGGGCTCTAGAGGCTGATGAAAGCATAGGAAAATCACCTCACACAGTGTCTTGCACTTAGTTGCCACTAGGTAAATAGTAGACTTAACCTGAATCCCTGTGTTCCTTAGGAAATATATTGGCCAACTGAATGATGAATGTGAAGCACTTTATAAACTGAAAAATACCATGCAAATGTTGTTTGTGTGGTTGACTCCTAGAGAATACTTTGGAAAAATAACTGAAGGCTTGACCCAGCGACAGGTATTAGCTTAATGTACAGATGCTGTGCTAGTGTGGAGGACAGCTGTTTACAGTGTAATTAGGGTCATGTCAAAGTTCTCTTATCCAGAAAGTTATTATTTTTTATTACTCTGTAATATTTATTGAACTCTCACTGTTTATGTAGCTACCATCTTCACAGTATGGAATAGGAAGAAGTATAAAATACAGTTCTTGTACTCAAGGCCCTCAGAAATATCTGTGATGTTGGAAATGTTCTTTATCTGTCCTGTCCAAATGGTAACCACTAGCCATATATAGCTGTTGAGTGCTTGAAATGTGGCTAGTGCGAAAGAAGATCTAAATTTGAAGTTTTATTTAATTTTAATTGATTTATACATAATGGACACATATGCCTGGTGACCACTGTATTGCACAGTGCAGGTCTAGATGGAGACCTAAGACTTGTATGTATGAACAGTGCATTTACCCTGCAAAGCAGTTTATAATAAGGGCTAGACTAGCAGTATGGTAAGCAAGTCGTACGTGAGTCTATTAGTAGTTAAAAGGGAAGCTGGGTATGTCTGGGCTAGTGCTCTTAGGGGAGGTGGGTTTTTGAGTGGCACTGTGAAGACAAGGTAGGATTTACAGTCTTGGAGACCTCTACAAGAAGCAGTGAATGGACTAAAAAATAACAAAATGTGATTGAAAAGATAAAGTAGGGACAGATTATGGAAGTCCTTGACTATCTGACTTAATTTCATTCATTCCATCGGTGCATTCAGCAAAAGAATGTTTCTATTTGATAGATACAATGCTGGTCTCTAGGTATATGGGGCTAGGATTGGGGTATAGATTGATGAACACACCACACTTGGTCCCTGCCCAGTGGAACTTTAAACAAATCAACACACAAATTATGAAAAGAGCCCCAAAGGATAAGAAGGATAGTTTGAAAGAATAATAACAGAGAGGACTAATTAAGGATGGATGGTCAAGATAGTTTTCCTGAGGAAATAGCAATTAAATTGAGACATGAGGCTTGGATAAGAGTTGGCTCAGGGAAAATATACTTCTTAGGCAGTGGGTAGGCCCCAGTGAGAATTTTTGAGTAAGGCAGTAGTAATGAAAGGCAGTTTCAGATCGTCTGCAAGTTGAACTGAAGAATAGGAAAGCATAGAATCTTAATTGACTTCTTACACTTGATTTTTATCTATTTATTTGAACAATAGTATACTTGTAAAAGTTTGGGTTTGCAGTCTCACAGTCCTGGGTTTGAACCTTGGCTTGTCATTTACTAGCTGAGCAGTCTCAGACAAGACTTTTTCCTCATCTATAAAATGGAATTAAAATTCCTACTTTATAAGATTAATGTGTGGAATAAATGAAATAGTGTATGTAAAACCTAAAACAGAGCATTGCATATCATAAACACTCAGTAAACAATAGTAATTTGTGTATCTGTTTTCTAAATAGGGTCAGTAATATAATTTCAGTGATAGTTAGTAATCTTCAGAATTGAGAAAGCTTATGAGGTCTCTAAAATATCTTAATCACCAGTAAAGTTTTAGTTAACAATATGCAAGGGTCAGTTCTTTTAGATACTTTTCTAACTTTTTGGTCATTCTGGAAAGAATTCCAGTTTGAAAGAAAAAAAATAACTATTAGATTAAAAAGATTTGTACCATTTGCTGAATCTTGGGCTGTTTTCTCTTCAGTCACTCCACATTACAGGGTTCAGTTTTAATATTTGGAGACCATCCTTACCTCCCTGACAGGAAGCTGGTCAATATTACTTTTGTAAATAAGTGGACCTACTCCAGTTAGACTGATGTTTCTGAAAAGTACAGACAAGAGAAGCTGTCTAAACATGAGGAACAAGGTCAGTATCCGTGTTGTATGAACCTTGAACTTCATCTAGAAGTTAGTGGATCCCCGTTGTGAAGTGAAGCGCTAAGGGAGATATACCATGCTGTGGATGATCTTTTTAAGTAAATATGTAGGTTCATTCCATGTTGCTGGTCCTTTGGAGCAGCCTTCAAAGGTAACCTACAAAGTGAGCACTGTGGTTTCTCATTGAAAAGATTGGAACTTGATCGCTGTCTCAAATTTTCATGTTTGTAAAAACCCATGACCTTGTTAATGCAGATATTTACTTGAGTATCCTGGTTAAGCACCAGGAATCTAAATTGCCAGAAACCTAAAAATAAAGAAGAATGGAATGTGGTGGCAGTGAAAGAATCAGAAATTTCTCTTATGAGACTATTTCATAAGGAAATAACTGGAGATGTATTTGATGTTATAACACATTCATTGTAACCATGAATGATACAAAAATTATATAAGAAAATGTTTAATGTGAATTGTTAAATTAAAAAAAAAAAGAATTATAGGGGCTTCCCTGGCAGTCCAGTGGTTAAGATTGCGTGCTTCTAGCACAGGGGGCACGGGTTCCATCCCCGGTCAGGAAACTAAGATCCCGCATGCCATGGGGCACAGCCAAATAAATAAATAAATAAAAATTTGAAAAGGATTATAGAAGAGTATGTCCAATATAACCCCACTTTTGTAAACTACTTAGAAAAAATGGATGCATACCCAGCATTAGTGGTGGTAGAGGGATGACAAATGACTTTTAGTTTTTTTTCCCTGAATTTTCCAACTTTGGGTATGAAATTAGAATTTAAATAGCCAGAAATCTTGCTAGAACTCTAAAAAGAGTTAATCTAAAGCCTGCTTGCTTTCACTGATGTCTTTATTTCCACTAGTGTCAAGAGTTTTGGGCTAAATAGTAGGAGATCCAGATTTTGAATTAAGCCACTAGCACTATGACCTTGAGTAAATCACCTTAACCTCAGTGGATCTCATTTCCCTCATCTGACAAAATGAGAGACTGGAGGAATGAAGTCCCTTCCAATTTCAAAATGATTCTGGAATTCTGTTCTAAATTGTCTGAAAAAAAAGTGGACTATGACCTAAGGGACTAGGCATAGGAGAAATCTGAAGTCAAACACAGTTATTTGGAATCTTACTGACCTACCTTTATGAAGTACATGTTATATTTTTAGGAAGCAGAAAAACATTGTATCTTAGGGTCAAATAACTTGACAAAGGCTTAACTTTCTTTGCTTTAGCTTCCCATTATCTGTTAACCAAGGAACTTTTCTGGTTGACCGCAGGCTCTTAACTGAATTAATGGTAATATACTTCATCTCCGCCTGGTACTTTGTAGCTTACCACAGTCTTTACATTGTATTATTTGCTTTTCATAACTGGCAGGGAAGGCATTGTTATTTCTGTATTTCAGATGAGGATACTGATGGCAAGTGCCTATTCAAATTCACATTGATCAGTGGTAGAACAGAGACTAACTAGAACCCTGAACCTTAGAAGGTTGAGTGCTTTTGTCTCTACATCCTCCTACCTCTCTTTTAATGTTTCTTTTTTTTTCATAGTGCTTCATATTCCCTGATATGACCATTTTCATTCTCTTTACATGAGATTAGCTTTTGGGTTTCTCAGTCATAAAATTTGAAAGCTGGATGAGACCTAGCAGTCCATTTCCCTTATTTAGAAATGTAATGCAATTCCTCTATTTTACAGATGAAGAAATTGAGGTCTACAGAGGCCAAGTGGCAGGAGATAGAGATATCGATACATATATAGAGAGATATATCTATATCATATTGACAAAGCTAGGATTTGGACCCACTGCATTAGAAGGAAATCAGCGGTAATGTTCTTTTGGAGAGTCAAGAAGTGATATTCTTTGAAAACTATTTGATTATCACTGAAGTGCACTGATAATCAGCGTTCCAGTAGGAGTTATTGAGCACCTGCTATATCCAAGGCATTCTTGTTTTTTAAAATTATTTCTTGGAAGGATAATAGCCAACTAACGCAGTGTGTTGTTATTTGTGCAGATGGTTCTGTACTTTCATTTAGGTACCAGATTATTAGTTGGGCATTTTATGTGTGGTGTAAATAGTGAGCAAGGCACGTTTTTAAATTGTGAATTTAAGTAAAAAGTCCTCCCCCCACAATGGACTATACTCAGAAGCTAGGATTCTTTTATTCTTGTTACTCTAACATTCATATTGTTGACTTTTGCAGTTCTTTGTAGTATTGTAGGTGGTTGTTAGATCTCAGAACACAGACTTTCTTGAAATAATTACACTGAGTTTATTATTTTTTAACTATAATTCTAGTTTTCTTAAAACATTGTTTTACATAGTAATACCTGAACACCAGAAAATACCAGCAATTCAGACATGTATTTAGTCAGTTATAGATCTAGACGTGGCTAGTTGTCCTAATAGTGTGTTAAATTAGATTAGAATTCATATCACCAAATACAAAAATATATTTTGAAATACTGGGCATTGGACTCAGATGCTCTCTCAGCATTGCCCCATTCTTCCTAAGAACTTCATTTATATTACTAGAGTGGCAAAGTGTTAACATTTTGTTTTAGATATTGACGCAACTCCCCAGCAAAACCAGCAGCTTTGTGTAGTCTGGGACCACCTTGTTTTATTCATTTTTGCATTTTCAGAACCTAACACAGTATCCCATTCATTGTAGTACTCAGGAAATGTTTAGATAGTACTGGCATGGTGTATCAAAACACCTCTGAGTCAACTGAGTCAGTTGTCGGGACAAAAAGCCTTAGGTCCCAAAGTCTACTTGGGAGTTAAATCAACTCAAAAGAACGGTTAGTGACTTGCAACCCCTAGAATACCCTCTTTTATTGATATATCCCTGTGTCACTAATGAAGCGATCAGTAAAAAGTAGGTTACTTCTGAGCTATCCAGTTTAGAGTTTCCAGGACGGATTTTATTTTAGTTCTGCAGCCTCCCACCAGTTTGTGATGGTGGCCTAACAGATAAAGAGTGCTTTTCTTATAATCTGTAATTGAACAGTTTTCCTCTTTGCATTTGTCAGCCAGCATACTGTCTTGGCAGGGGAATTCAAGGGCATAATAGATGCTGTCACACACAAGCTCTGAAAACCAGTTCTTTATTCTGTTTTTTAAAAACACATTTTTAAAAAATCTGCTTAGATGCTCTAAAAATATTTTATGTCAACTGCTCTTGTTAAAAGGTTTCTTGTAAGTTATTCCTTAATTAATGGAAGAACATACTATTTGAGAAAGGATGTTTCACATAGACAAGAACTGTAAATTCTTTATAGCTGAAAGGAATGAGTGCAGGTTTTACAAAAATATTTTTGTGTTTGCTGGTTCATTTACTGTGTAAGTCAACTGCCCTATGTATTGTTTATTAAATCTCTGCCTGTAATGTAAATTTTCTTTTTTTTTTATTGGAGTATAATTGCTTTACAATGTTGTGTTAGTTTCTGCTGTACAACAAAGTGGATCAGCTATATGTGTACATATATCCCCTCCCTCTTGGACCTCCCTCCCACCCCACCCCCATCCCACCCATCTAGGTCATCAGAGAGCATCTAGCTGAGCTCCCTGTGCTATACAGCAGGTTCCCACTAGCTATCTATTGTACAAATGGTAGCGTATATATGTCAATCCTAATCTCCCAATTCACCCCACCCTTCCCTTCCCCCACTGTGTCCACGTGTCCATTCTCTACATCTGCATTTCTATTCCTGCCCTGCAAATAGGTTCACCTGTACCCTTTTTCTAGATTCCACATGTATGCGTTAATATACAATATTTGTTTTTCTCTTTTTGACTTACTTCACTCTGTATGACAGACTCTAGGTCCATCCACATCTCTACAAATGACCTAATTTTATTCTTTTTTTATGGCTGAGTAATATTCCTTGTATATATGTACCACATTGTCTTTATCCATTCATCTGTCGATGGACATTTAGGTTGCTTCCATGTTCTGGCTATTGTAAATAGTGCTGCAGTGAACATTGTGGTACATGTATCTTTTTGAATTGCGGTTTTCTCAGGATATATGCCTAGTAGTGGGATTGCTGGGTCATATGGTAGTTCTATTTTTTGCCTGTAATGTAAATTTTCAACTTAAGTTGAGGTGGGTTAAGGGATATAGAAGCCACCACAGATGAAAATGGTCAAATCCTGAAGTGTATTTTGTGTTTTAACAATATTTACATATTAACATGTTATTTATTTTAGAAATGTATAAAGAATTATAAAAAAGAAAAGAAAATATGGTCCACAGTCTCACTGATAATATAATTTTATTAATAATCTGGTCTACATATATTTATTAGCAGGCAAACATAAATACATTTTTGACATTTTTATAATCATAAATAATATGTACAAGTAACTAGAAAATTTAAACTGTATAAAAATAAATCCTCTCCCCAAAAGGTTCTTGGTATCCTTTCAAGAAATTTTTTAGTGCATCTATATATCTTTTTAAAAGATTATACAGGGACTTCCCTGGTGTTCCAGTGGTTAAAAATCTGCCTTCCAATGCAGGGGACACGGGTTTGATCCCTGGTTGGGGAACTAAGATCCCACGTGCAGCGGGGCAACTAAACAACTAAACCCATGTGCTCTAGAGCCCATGCACAACAACTATAGAGAAGCCCACAACTAAGAGCCCACACACCGCAATGAAGACCCAGAATAGCCAAAAAAAAAAAAAAAAAAAGGAAAAGAAAAAGACTAGGACTTTGCCCTTAAAAAAAAAAAAAGATTATACAAAGGGCTTTGTGCTGTACACTGTATTTGGCATTTTGCTTTTTTTGTTTTATGTATGTTGGCACCCTTTCCATACCAGCATATGCAGATTTACCTCATTATTTTTTTTTCAGCTTTATCACATGGATGAACCACATTTATTTTACCAGTCTTACATTGTTTGATACACATTCAGAGTATTTCCAGATTGTTGCACTGTTGCCATGAATATCCAATGAATTCATATATTTTGGCACAGGATAATTTCTGAACAGTAGAATCACTGGGTCAAAGGGTATATGTACTTTAAAAATTGACAGACATTTTCAAATTTCTATTCAAAGATTAGACCAATTTTCATTCCTGTAACAGCAAGTACAGCATACTAATTTTTCCATACTCTTATCAGTATTATCAAACTTTTAAAAGATTATTATTTCTACCAATCCAGTGGTGAGCTAAATATTTTTAAGAAAGGGAAATATGTACAGTTTTTTTAATATTCTGTAGGATATGAAAATTTTTGAAAAGGCTAGTATTCTTATCTTTAATTCTTTTTTATGTTTTACATATTAAGAGATGAAATTGGCCTGATCCCATGTCCTGAAGCTAGGTATAATCGGAGTCCCATAGTCCTGGTTGAAAACAAACTTGGCGTGGAGAGCTGGTGTGTCAAGTTCCTTTTACCGTATGTCCACAACAAACTCCTTTTGTACAGAACAAGAAAGCAATGGCTGAACAAAGATGGTAAGTATGGAGTCTATCCTCTTTCTTTGACTTTTAGAAGCACCATGAGATATAGTGGGAAGAGCCCTCTCTGATGTTGCCATTCCTGGATTCTAGTTCTGGCTTTTTCATTCACTGCCTGGGCAGGCGTTTAACGTTTCTGTCAACTGAGGAGCTTGGACTCATCGCTCGTTTTCTAATTTTGCATCCATGATGATTCTGTGGAAGGTGCCTAAAGCAGGGTGCCAGGCCCTCTACTGCAAACAGATTTTTTTTTTTTTTAATGTATTGGGGTCATTTGTAAGATATTTGAAGAAAGCATCGCATGGCTAAAAACAGTTTGAAAATCTGTGAAGTGAACTCTAGTCCCTACAAGCTCTGATTCTCTGGTTTCTAATCCTTTAGTACGTTATGAGCAATAGAACTCATTTAGTAGCAGTCCAAATGAGATAACCAAGGTGTGATGGTGGTAGTTATACTGTGAACCAGGTCAGTGGTTTATGATGGTGCTGTTGTACTTTGACTCCCAAGTAAGCTCTGGCCCACTGTGTTCTGTTCCTATGCTGAAATGAGCAAAAGAAAACCATCCTATTTCTTCATTTTTTCTGCTTCTCTGAGGTAGTTCTTTGCTGCATCAGACAATCCCTATTCATCCCACCTGGTGTCTTTTCCTTGTTTTCCCCCTGTATGTGATGTTAAGCCTCCATGTACACAAATTCAGTTTACTTTTTAGGTAAACATAGGATCTGAGTTCTCACTTTTTTGGAGAGTGCTCATCCAAGACCATATTCTTGACTGTTTCTGTAAAGCTCCTTCCCCTTCCCACATACAGCAGTACCTTCAAAAGTGCTCAGTATATCTGGTAGCTAATTTTGAATAAGAACTTTGTTTCTTAGAGAATTTTAATTATAAGTTCAGTAGCCATTACCGAGGGCCTCCTCCTACCTGAAGCTGTTCTAAGTACTGTGGGGGATAAAAAGGTGAATAATACCTGTTTCCTTTACTCAGGAAGCTTACAGTTGAGTGAGAAACAATCTCTTCATGGAGAATAGTGTTGCCAAAGGGGACATGCCAATTTCCTTGTGTTCCTCTTGGCATTGTCCTTAATATACTGTCATAATAGGTTAATAGCACTTTTCCCTGTTTAGACCAGTAGAAAAGGTAACCTGATTTGAAGATTTAATGTGAAATAGTTTCTATTTTCTGTTTCACTCAGTTAGTCCACTGATATATATATTTCTTAATTATAAGGCTATGTCTAAGTTTATGGCATAACTTAAGTTTGTGGCAGAAACTTAAAGGCATAAGTTTAGGCATAAACTTAAAGTTAAGGGCATTTATCTGTTGTTAGCCCCTCTTTCATTCTCCATTCCATTACCCTATAGTAGTTTTCATCAACATTAAGGTACAAAGTAGCACCATGTGAATCCATCAAGTTATTTTTTTGCCTAACAGAGCTATATTGTGTATGTTCTGGCACACAGAAATATATAATTGAGCCAATACGTAACTAACTGCAGGGGGAGACAAATGATGCTCTTGTAGAGAAGAAACAGTATGAATTTGAAAGTGTCAAAGGCTGTCATTTCAGATCATCAGCTTTTGCCCATTCATATATGCTAGCCCAATCAGCCTTCTTCCTGCAGTCTTCCAAGTTCTTCTCTCCATTTCCCTGTTTCTTGTCTTTCTGGGCAGTGCACTGTAGGCTTTGCTAAATCTCCTCATCATGTAGTTTTATCTTGATAGACCCAGGAGAACCCAGGCAGAAGATCAAATGGTTAAGCTCACTCACATGAATTGCTGACATCTAAGGTTTGAATTCTGATGCAACTGTGCGTGTATACAGAAGCAACTTGATTTTATCTTAACCTATATCTTCATGGAAGTAGTTTTCAATTTCACTTTTTGGGGGCAGCGACAGTATAGTTTAATGCGGTGTCATATATTACTCAGGTTGTATATTGTATTATTGGTAAAAATATGGAAGTGAGTTTCTGATGTGATAAAAAAAGATACCTGAAAATGCAGACTGACTAACATAAGAGTGTTCTGCTAAACTTGTGAACTGAAGAACACAGTGGTGAATTTTGCTAAGGAAAGAAAGTTAAAAGTATTAGGAAAAAGCAGTCATTTCATGAAAATGCTATACTTTTTAAATTGTTTTTGTAGAAAATATACATATAAGAGCCAATTGAAGAAAGCTGGCAGTTTAAGAACAATTTCAGAAATGCCAGTGTCTTTGTGATAGATCATGCCAAAATCCTAGGCATTCCCTTAAGAATGTATTCTGTAACTGCAGGTGACCTTTATTCTGGGGATATATATTTTTTCTTTTTAACCAAACTGAATTCATGCTCTCATTAGTGTGCTGAATTCCTTAGATGTTTGAAAATCATCTGTATTAGTCAGGGTTCTCCACAGCAACAACCAATAGAGATTTTATGTATATGTATACATAAAACGAGATTCATTATGATGAATTGGCTCACATGATTATGGAGGCTGAGAAGTCCCACAGTCTGCTTTCTGCAAGCTGGGGACCCAGAAAAGCCAGTGATTTAATTCAGTTTGAGTCTGAAGGATTGAGAAGCAGGGGAGCCAGTGGTGTAAATCCCAGTCTGAAAGCTGGAGAAGATAAGATGAGGTGTCCCAACTCAAGCAGACAGAGGAATCAAAAAAGGAGTAAATTCTCCTGTTTTCCTCCTTTTGTTCTGTTCAGGTCCTCAACAGATTGATGTTTACCCACATTGGGGAGGGCAGTCTACTGAGTCTTCAGATTCAATTGTTAATCTCATCTGAAGACACCCTCACTAATACACTCAGAAATCATGTTTAGTAATGTTTAATCTGTGCACCCTGTAGCAAGTCAAGTTTAACCGTAGTTTAACCAAAAGTAACCATCACAGCCTCCCTGTTTATTTACTTAGAGAGAAACTAATATTTTTTTAAAGTGTGCTGCAGTAATAGCCATATTTGGTTTGGGAGAGGGGTGATACTGTAATTCTGATTAATGAAAATCCATGGCAGAAACAAAAAGCAAGAGAGAAGTCCATAGTAGTGGAGTCCTGACTGAGTAGTGCTCTGTCCCGCACTCTATCTCCAAGTCAGTGCTTCCATCTTTTTGTTGTTGTTGTTCTTCCCTCTTTCTCACAATGCTTGCTCTCAGTCCATCACTGAGCTCTCTCTTATCTCTTCATTTCTTATTTCTCATCTGGACAAATATTATTACCTCATAGTTGGTCTACTCCGTTTTCGGCCTCTCTTCTGTAATCCATGTCCGTCATGCCACTAGTCAGTCGTTTCAAACACTTCTTAGAAACACAGTTTGAAAGATGCTTTTCTGAAATATGTATCCCCTTGTTTCATGATGCTTAGAGGGACAAGGTAGAGTCATTATCCTTGGCATGGTATTCAAGGGCCTTCACGATCTGTCCCCAGGCTGTATTACCAGCTTTTTCCTGTACTTTTTTTTTTTTTTTTTTTGCGGTACGCGGGCCTCTCACTGCTGTGGCCTCTCCCATTGCGGAGCACAGGCTCCGGATGCGCAGGCTCAGTGGCCATGACTCACGGGCGCAGCCGCTCCACGGCATGTGGGATCTTCCCGGACCGGAGCCTGAACCCGTGTCCCCTGCATCGGCAGGCAGACTCTCAACCACTGCGCCACCAGGGAAGCCCTCCTCTGCTTTTATATTCAGCATCAGAGGTTGTAGACTCTCAGCCACCAGGCTGAAGCCAGCCCACATGTTTATTTCGTTTTGGCTTGTATAATGTTTTAAAAATTGTTTTTAAAACAACTTTGTTGTTGGATAAACATTTCAAATCAGGATGAACTTCTAAAATTAGGATGGAAATATGGATTTCTGCCTTCACTTGAAAAATCAGAAGCCTTGGATGCATCCGTTTCTGTGCAGCAGCAATTGGCTGAGGATCATAGCCTCTGCTTTTCTTGACTAGGCAAGCCTATTCCAGTTGACTGCAACCTCCTCATGTCCTTCAGACACTGAGGCAGTGTCATTTGCTACTTACCAGGTTTGCTTTGCCTCTTTTTTGCCATTTATTTGAACCCTGGAAGCATTTGAGTTTGCAGCTGTTTGATGTACATTCCAGCCACAACAAACACTGTTCCATTCTTGGACTTTGCTGTGTACCACTGCCTTAATTCCATGCCTTTGCTGAGGTCAGGTTCAGATCTCATGTTGTCATTATTGTTGTGTTTGCCAACACACACACATGTGAAGCCTCTTGACTGCTCCAGGAAGCAACAGTTACTCCTTTGCACTCCTGTGGGAGTCCTTATTCATACTGCATGCATACTAGAACTTACCACACTTTACTGTAGTTGATTATTTAAACAACATTTATCCCAGCTAGATTGTGGGTTTGTTAGAAAGAGGGGTTATAGCTTGTCTGTATTTACTAAGCACTTTTTTGTGTTCAATAGATATTTGTCAAATAAGTAACAAGAGTTTGGTAAGCGAGAGCCTTTAACTTAGTCTGGCTATTGATTCAGTGACTGTATTCTGTAATAAACAGGACCTTTCTCATATTTACCACTAGCCTCACCTCAAGCCTCTCTTGTTGTGGTAAACCTGAATGTATTTTAGAGGAAGAGATTAATTAATCCAAGTTGACCTTGGATTTATTTTTAGATGCATGAAAACATATCTCTGTTAGAGACAGTTGTCAAACCCAGTGTCCAGTACCAGGTGACTGCTCACCTTGGGCCATTTCTAGAATGCATTGAAGCCAAGAAAGCATATTGGTCTTTCTCTGACTTTTCTGTAACATCCTTAAATGTTCTCTTTGTTACAGCTGAAATTTAGGTGCTTTTTTTCCCTGTGTATAATGTGCCCTGGTTCATTTTCTCCTTGTGATGTGATGATGAGCTAGTCATATATTGGAGTGTGTGTACCAAAGGAATGGTTATTTGCTGGTATATGTCTGGTGTTTGGAGAGACATCTGTTTAATTTCAAGAGACTGTAGGGATATCAATAGCTCACATCTTGGTAAAACTGCAAAGAAAAATGGTATATAGTTGATGAGATGGAGAGAGTGAAATAGTCAACTGTTGATTATACATGTTTATCTTTAGATCTTTGGTTCAACACTCACTTGAAGACAGCAAAGTAATTGTAGACAGTGTGCTAGGTTGGAAAGAGCATCTTCTTTGCAAGAAAAACAGAGCTGGATTTAGACTCAATTTATCAGCACACTGAAGTCATTTAACAGTGATTTTAGGCAAATTATGTAACCTTTTTCTAGTTCCACACCAAAAGAAGAGAATTCTCACAGGTCTCAGAGGGTTGTTGTGAGGATCACATGAATTAGTGTATGTAAAGCACCTAGCACAGAGACTGGCATGTCATTGACTCTCAAGAAACACTAGTTTCCTTTCTCTCGTTTATCCAGAGCCAGTGAGGAAGAAGAGCAGAAAATATATATAATTCAGTAAGATTCTTTAATTATGTCCAATATTTATAACCTAGTTACTTCTCCTTCATTGGCCCTTTTCCATTTCTGATATTCTGCTTCACCCCCACCTCTTGGATCTGACTGGAATGCTTCTTAAAGGAGGTCCCATCTGAACTTAAGTCCTCAATCAGGAAGAGTTAGCAGTTTATCAAAGAGGAAGGGGGAAGGGCATGTGACTGTATGTGTTACTAGGCATTACTGGTGGTTGGCCAAGGCTGTTGATAAGTTTTAAGTGTGTTTAGAGAACAGGGGGGTTTGAGAAGGATCCCTCCACTCAGCAGTCGCTGCTCAGCCAGCTCAAGAGATTCTTTTCCTCCCTCTGGTGGCATCCAATCCCAGTATCATTTATAACTGGGCTAGGAGATACAGGCTTTGTAACAGGAGTTATCACTGCGTGCTTGCTGTGTGTCAGGTATTATCCTAACAATTCACGGGTATGAGTCATTTAATACACCCATGAGGTAGTACTATTATTAGCTCAGTTTTACGTATGAGGCAGACACTAAGGCACAGAAAGATTGATGTGCCTCGGAACTTCCCAGTCAGTAGTAGAGCTGGGCTCTGACCCAACAGCTGCTGTTGCCTTGCTAGGGGGAGACCCTCCAGTAAAAGAAGTGCTCTTCACACATCCACAAAGTGAAAAGTGGGGACTTCGGTATTTTCTGTGTTAGTTTTTGCCTTGTGCTGCTATACACAAGTATCTTGTGGAGGATGAACTCCTCTTCATTTATGGGTGGGGAAGGAGAGTTGCATTAGAAGTGCAAACAAATAGCAACTATGATTGGTCAAATACACATTTTTTTTTAATGCAGAAAGGGAGAGTCCAAGAAACTAAATACCAGTTAATCTCATTATCTGGGAATTGTAATGGATTTTGAAAAATTGTGGACTTAAAAAAAAAATTCCAGAGGCCTTCCCATCATGCACAAACATTTTCATACAGCCACTTAATAACCAAGTGGTTTTTTGTTATTGTTCATTACACAAGTTTAGAAATTTAGACAACTTTGCAATAAGAACAACTGCCTCATTTTTTCTGACTTCTTTGATTAATTGATGTTGAGAATATTCATTTCTTGATAAGTAGTAATGGTGTTTAGTTGAACAAGTATTTATTTAGTCAAACTGTGTGTCAAACAGCTATGGAGAAATGGGATGAATCTCACTGCTTACAACACTAAGGTTGATATTATGATCCCCATTTCATAGATAAGGAAACTGAAGTTCAAAGACATTAAGTTATGTAGGCAGTAAGTGGAGAAGTTGAGATTTGAACCCAGGCAGAACGGCTTTAAGGCCTGTGCTCTTATCACTTCTCTGTGATGTGGGCAGACTTGGAATTTCTTTTGGGCAAAGGCCATATTTTTTCATCTTCGATGAATGAATGGCTAACTTGAAGGTGTATTAGAGAGGACCTGCATCCAAAAAATATACAGTCTCATCAAGAGGATAATATTTATATAAGTTTAGTAACAAAGTAAGATATACACAGAACATAGAGATGATAGATTGCTTTCAACCATGTAGGTCAGGAAGGCCTTTATAGAGAAAGATGCTTTTTTTTTCCTTTTAAATTCAGGGATAGGAGGACATTTCTGGCAGAGAGAATAGGAAGCAGGTAAATCTGAGTTATAGCCAGAGAAGAAAAGGTAGGCAGATGGGCAGTATGTTTAGGGAATGGGGGGTGTTTGGTTCAGGTGGAATGTAGCACATGAAGGGAAAGTAATGGAAAGCCAGGCTGACAAGGACAATGGGACCAGATTCTGTTTTCCAGGTACCTTTCTCCAGCACCCTCAGCTTTAGTCACGCTCAGGGTACCCATAATCTTTTGAGAGCATACTGTGTGCGAAGTTCCCTGCCTCTTTACCTTTCCCCATACTTTTTTCCACAGTCTGTAGTGCCCTTTACTGTCTTACTCATTTATAGTCTTCCCTGGGTACTCCAGTAAGAATTAATTGCAGCTGCTTTGGTGGTCTCCAAAATGTGGTATATGTTCCTACTTCACAATTATTTTAGTTTGCCTTATAATTGTTTACATATTCTCTCCAACTAAAGGTTAACCTTTTAGAAGGCAAGATCAGGTCTTGCATTTCTCATAATATCCATTCTCTCAGTTCTGTGGGCCCAGTTTAATCTCTGCACATAGTCAGTACTTGGTATATTTTGGAATTAAAGGAATAATGGTATAGAAAATTGTATTTAATTTCCCTGGTAAGTGTTAAATTAGTGCCCAAAACTACTGAAAGTAAAAGAAGGAAGAGGTTTATTAGATTGTTCTTTGTAGACATATTGACATTATATAATATATACATTGATATTATATAGTATGTTTGTAATATAAACATTTCATGATGCTTGTAATGAGGACGATAAAGTTCAAAAATAAATGTGTGCTAATCCTACCTTTTGTTGCTCATTTATCAAATGTTATAATATATTCAGTAGTAATGAAATCATAGGCTCACAATAAATGTTAATCTCTTATTGAGATGGTTGAGAATTGAATAATTGATTTTCATGTTCACTAAAATATTTTAAGATGACTATAGGGATGCACTTATGTGTATTTACTCTTAGGTTTTTAAAAGTTTATCTTTTACTTAAACAGAGTGTCCCAATTATTTATTGTAGACAGACATTTCAACTGCAGTATAATTGAGTTATTAAAAGCAGTCAGATGCTGTCATTGCACATACTGATTGGGTGACTCTGGGCAAATTCCTTGAACTCTCTAGATGTCCATTTCCAAATAACTTGGATTATGATTGTGAGAATTCAATGAAATAATGTAAATAAAATAATAATGTGCCTGATACATAATAATGCCAAATAATTATAACAGTTTTTTTTTATTATTTTATTTGCTTAGCATTTAATATGAGCTTGGTAGAGGTTACTGTAATTTAGTTTTATGCCCTAGGCTGATCATCTTAATCCTAAAATTCTTTTCTTCAGTTTTAATAAAATGAAGACTATATGTCTAAATATTACTGACTTTGTTTTATTAAATATAGGCTTATGGAGCTTATTCAAGACCATGATAGATACATAGCTAATGAATATGAATAGACTATACAATGAAAATAGAAAATAGTAAACAAAATCAAAAATGTTTGTATTAATAATTATAATTAAAGATGTAAATTAAAACAGAAAGTACAATTTTTCTATCTGCCACATTCATTTTCAAAAATATACTTACATAGGTCAAAGTTACAGGGACATAAGTACACTCATGTTACTCTTGGCGATGTAAATAGGTACAGTCCATTTGGGGAACAATTTGGAAGTGCTTAGTGGGAGCCATACTGATATTTGTATTGTTTGACATAGTAGTTCTACTCCTGGAAAAATATCCACAGGAAATAATCTATGAGACAAAAAGTGTGCTTAAAAATGTTTGTAGTGGTAGTATCCATAACAGTAAAAACAAAATAGGAAACAGCCTAAAGAAGAAGATAAATGATAATATATTAAACTGAAGGATTGTTATGCAGTTGTTAAAAATGCATACTGTAGGGCTTCTCTGGTGGCGCAGTGGTTGAGAGTCCACCTGCTGATGCAGGGGAGGCGGGTTCGTGCCCCGGTCCGGGAAGTTCCCACATGCCGCGGAGCGGCTGGGCCCGTGAACCATGGCCACTGGGCCTGTGCTTCTGGAGCCTGTGCTCCGCAACGGGAGAGGCCACAGCAGTGAGAGGCCTGCGTACCGCAAAAAAAAAAAAAAAAAAAAAAATTGCATACTGTAGCAATATAGGAGAATGCATATGTAATAATGTTGAGTGAAAAACATAGAGCAAAATTGTGCATTTATCATTGCTATAACTGTAAAAATGTGTGTAAGAAATAATCTTTGCAGGGGAATGTAAATGAATTGTTAACTAAGTTGGATTATATGTGATTTTCTTCTTGAAAATTTGCACGTAGTCAATTCTTGAAATATTTGTGAAATTAAATGAACAGTGGTAGAGAAATTGTGTTTCTTTTTTTGTGCCAAAAACTACTAAAAGAATGAATAGGTTAGTTTGATTATTCTTTATAGACGTATTGTAAAGTGGTTTGTGTCAACTTTTAAAAAGTTATACTTATCATAAGTAGAAGAAAATCTTCATGTCTTTGTATCTGAGGATAATCTTTGTGTCTCTGACAACTTAGGACAAAGTTATCATTAAAATTACTATGACATGAGATATAAGTATAATGTGATATATATATATAAAATAAAGAGGACCTTAAAAGAAAGAGAAGCCACACCTTCAAGGGTAGGACTGTTTGTTTTTAATATGACTTCTCTTTATTTTAGAATTGATAGATGTCACATGCACCCTGCTACTTCTAAACCCAGACTTTACCACTGCGTGGAACGTGAGGTACGTCATTCTCATCAGTGATAAAATGAAATGGCCCAAATGTCTGAAGACATATAAGCCCCATGAATTGTTAGCTTTTTGAAAAGTGAAATATAAATCACATATTCATGGCATCTTAAACTTATTTCTTCTCTATAATATCTCCATGACAATTCTAATATACACTTTGCCCCTTTTTGCATGTTTATGTCTGTTCTCCCTAAACTTCTTGCCTGAAATATAAATTTTCATGTTGAATTACAGTATACCATTTGATACATGCTTTTATCTTCCTTTTTTAGGGGGGTAGAAGGAATCAGCATAATTGGTTGTATTGTAAAGTGTTGGTTAGTATATTTGAGAAGCACTGCAGTGCAGTAGAAAATGTAAAAGTGAGCATTCAGGGTCACAAACTATTAGTTTAGTCACCTTGTGACCTCTGTGGGCAAATCATTTGAAGTCTCTGGCACTCAGTATTTTAGAGAAGGACCACATCTTATTAGTATCTTAAGTTCTTTAATTCTGATTGTTGTCACTTTAAACACAATACTTTATAGAAATATTAAAATTCAGGCCAGGTTCATTTCTTAAAATTTTCATTTAAACAGTATGTATGGTTTTTAAAAATTGGTGGTTCTTTAGACTAACACAAATTTTCCTGGAGGAAAGCAGGATACAAATTGTAGATAAATAAAAGTGAAGTCCTGTTGAACATTGTGGATTCATTTAAACTTTCCTATAGGAAAGAGCCATAAATTATAGCTCTTTATCTTTAAAGATGACTTAGACAATACTTCAATTTTCTGTGAATTTTAATTCCACGTTAGTGTTTTGTAATACCCACTGAATTTTAAATTTATAGCTAGTTTTATTAAATTTAGGTAACCTCTATTATTTTTTTAAATTGTCTTTTGGCTGATAATGATCAGATATTTAGAGTAAAGAGTGAGAAAGGACAGAATGAGATAGAAGGCTTTAAAAATTTACAAATTTTAGAATTCTGATTTTCTTTCATGGAAAGCTCCACAGTGGTTCGGGAGTAGACTAATGTTTATGAGTGGCTACTCTATTCCAGGGACCATACTACAACTTTATATGTTATCTCATTTAACCCAAACAATACTTGACAACATTTGTTCATTCATTCATCAAATATTTATTGATTAACTGTATACTCTATGCTAGGTCCTAGGCACTGGGAATAGAACCATGAGCAAAACAAACAAAAATCTCTGTCCTTATGGAACTTTTATTCTAGTAGAAGAAGAAAAGCAATAAGGACATTAATAAGTGAAATATATGGTACATCAAGTGTTGCTTAATCCTATGGAGAAAAAGAGGGAAAGGAAGGTAGGGAAGACCAGTAAGAGAATGGAAGGAATGGTATTGCAGTTTTAATACGCTACATTTGAGCAAAGACTGCCATGAAGCCAGGGATCAATCTCTGTCAGTTTTGGGCTAAGAACATTCCACGTAGAGAGAACAGCAAGTGGAAAAGCCCTCAGTCATGACTGAAGTGTTCCTGGTTATTCTGGAACAGCAAGGGAGCCAGGGTAGCTGGAGTAGCATGAATGAGGGAGAGAGTAACAGGAGATGAGGCCAGAGAGTGATGGGCCAGATCTCACTGGGCTTTGTAGATCTTCATAAGCTGCTGTCAATAAGACAGCAATAAGAAATTTTGACTTTTACTTGGGGTGAGATAGAAAGTCATTGAAGGTTTTCAAGGTTAGGAGGGACAATATCTTATGTTTTAAAACTCTGGTTCCTGTGTGGAAAGTAGACTGTAGGAGTGCAGGGAGTGGTTAGGAAGTTAAGAAGTGGTTGCAATAGTTAAGGTGAGTGATGATGGTGACTGAGGTAGGTAAAGCTCAGCACTAGAAGTGGTGTGAAGCAGGTAAGATTCTCACTGTATTTTATAAACTATGTAAGCTTTGACTGTATTTAATAAACTGATTTTAAAGACACAGATGATAAATTGGATGTGAGAGAATGAAGAAGGTCAAGATTGACTCTGGTTTTTGGCCTGAGCAACTGAAAGGTTGGAGTTGCTATTTACTGAAATAGGGATGTCTGGAAGAGGAGCAGATTTAAGTGCGTGAGGGGGCAGGTGCTGGTTGGAAGTCAAGAGTTCAGTTTGGGACATGATAGGTTTGTGTCCAAGCAGTTGTGTATGAATCTAAAGTTCAGGCAAGAGTTCTAGGCCAGATATAATTTGGGAATCACTGGAAAATGTATGGTATTTAAAGCCATGAGATTGTTTGAGATATCCAAAGTAGTGGGTATAGATATTAGAAGAGAACCAGTCCAAAGACTAAGCACTGGGACACTACAGGTTTCCAGAGCTGCACAGTTCAGTATAGTAGCCATTAGCCACAAGTGGCTATTGAGCCCTTGAGATATGACTAGTCTCCGTTGAGATGTGCTGTAAGTGTAAACTACACATCAGATTTTGAAGACTGCGTACCCCCAGAAGTAAAATATCTTTCTTATTAGTAATTTTTATATTGATTACATGTTGAAATTATATTTTGGTTATATTAATTAAATACAATATATTACTTTGTACTTGTTTTTAATGTAGCTGTTAGAAAATTTTTAATTACATATATGGCTCACATGTATGACTCACATTATATTTCTATTGGACAGCGCTGTTCTAGAGTTTGCGAGATGAGGAAGAATCAACAAAGGAGACTTTTAGGAAGGTACTATAAACTTAAAACTGAGCGCTTTCTTAAGGGTAGAGACCATGTCTTTTTTTTTTTTCCTTGTTTCCCTAGCCTCTAACACTTTAGTGCCTGGTATACAATAGATACTCAGTTTGCAGACTGGGCACTGAAAATAATTAAATTCAGTAAAAAAGAAATGAGCGTAATAGAGAAGTGGGAGTACCATTTTTATTTATGTTCACAGATTCCTCATCATTACAGAGGAATTTAAATCCTCCCACAAAAAAAGATTCTTACTAGCATAATGTATATACACAAACACATATAATTCATGGTATATTCTATACGGCAGTTTAGTGGTGAAGAGAGAACCTAGTTCTTAAGATATATGAATCTTAGTCCTGTTTCATCAGTTAACTAGCAGTTGCCTTGGACAAGACCTTTAACTTCTCAGGAGTTTTAGTTTCCATATCTGTGAAATAAAAGATCTGAATTAGGGCTTCCCTGGTGGCGCAGTGGTTGAGAGTCCGCCTGCCGATGCAGGGGACGCGGGTTCGTGCTCTGGTCTGGGAAGATCCCACATGCCGCAGAGCGGCTGGGCCCATGAGCCATAGCTGCTGAGCCTGCGCGTCCGGAGCCTGTGCTCCGCAACGGGAGAGGCCACAACAGTGAGAGGCCCGTGTACCGCTCAAAAAAAAAAAAAAAAAAAATCTGAATTAGGTGATTTTTTTTTTAATGATTCTGTTGAAACTGTGTTTTGATTGTGTGTGGTTTGGTCTTATGAAGGGAAATTGCTCCGTAAATCTGACTTCAGTGATGTTAATAGCTAATCTTGAAGCTATTCTAGTAAGATGATTTAGTAAGTTTTGTGCTAGATGAGTAGAAAGGAAATCTTGATTTTTAAGAAACCCATTGTAGATATGTGTTCTAGTAAATTTTAATTTGTATTGGTAAGATTGACATATAAAGACAGAGTCATGAGTACATTTTGAGCAAAAAGCAAACAACTTTGGAAATAAACATCTAATGCTGTAAGTTCTCACAAATCGAATACTCAACATTTTATGTTTAATTGTTGGTACATTTCTTCTGCAGTAACTTTGGGAATTGTTGAATGATCTTTGGCTGTATTTTATAAACTGCTAAAAGATGTTGTAACATACCAGTAGTTCACTTTATAGGTGTCGCAGTCTTAGGAAGAAAAACAAGGGCAAGAATAAGTTTTTGAGCTGATCTGTGATTATAGTATGTGATGCATATAGTTTAAAAACCCAGCTGATTGTAGAAAAAAAATGACTGACTGGTACTTTTTTTTTTTTTGCTTTGAATTTGCTTTGAAAATTGGTGAATTAATTGATGAAAGAGGTTGACTTCATAATAATGTCCTATTTTTCCCTCAGTCTGTGAACATAGAGTAAGCAAAACATCTTTGAGCAGCTAGAAGAGCTGACACCAAGCTCCAATGATTCATATTCTTTACTCAAAGTAAAGATTGATTTAAATTTAATTGGTAACTTTACTTTATGCAGATTTGATGTTTGGTTCAGACACTTTGAGCTTGGAGCAGGTTACTGAATCTCTCCCAGCTTTTGTTTCCTCATCTGTAAAACTGAGGTAACATTGGGTTGTACCATATAAAATTGTTCTTTTTGTAAATCAGAAATGATTAAATCCAAACTTTCAAATCCTGGTTTCTAACACCATTCTCTAATAAAAGGAGCTGGGCTTTTTGGAGAAATGGCTGATTCTAGGACCAAGCCGGGAAATACACCAAATGAGCCTGGAACATCTTTGAGAGACAGAAAGTAAGGAAGTGCTTCCATTGGCCAAAGCTGGAACAGTTTGAACAATAAATTAACATAGTATTGGATTATACCCTAAAGTAGAAAATGGATATCCATAAGTCCATACTGATAAAAGAAATGCTCAAATACAAAAACAAATAAGAGATAATAGACAACTCTCCCATACAGAAAAATTCCAAATAATTTATCTAGGTAACTCCCCTCAAAGAGATGGAGTGTATATCTTCACTCCTTAAAGTGTAACCTTTTCCCAAAAAGTACAGTGGAGGAATCTAGCGTATACTGCCTAAGCCAGGTATTCAAGGTCAACATAAACAGTGACAAGTCATGCTGATATTATGTACCCATGATATATGATGAAAATGGCACTTTGCCTCTGTGGTTCCCTCAAAACCCATAACTCTAGTCTAACCATGAGAAAAATATACAAAATACCCAATAAGTACTCTCACAACTGTCAAGGCCACCAAAAACAAGGTATATCTAAGGGACCGAGAGGAGCCTACAGAGATATAACAACCAAATATAATGTGATATCCTGGTGGGACCCTGATATACAAAAAGAACGTTTGGTAAAAACGAAGTGATTCTGAATAAAGTATGGACTTCCAATAGTAATCTATCAGTGCTTCATCAGTTGTGATAAATGTACCATAATAATATAAGATGTTAATAATAAGAGAAACTGGGTACAGGCCATACAGAAATTCTCTGTACTATTCTTAAGAACTTTTCTGTAAATTTAAAACAATACTAAAATTAAAGGTTTATTTTAAAAAAAACAACAAAAAATTGAATATTGGCAGTTTCATATTATTTAACATAATACAGGATCTTTGTGAGAATTGAAGTAGAAAATATATGTAATTCACTTAACACACTGCCTGATTCAGGAGAAGTGTTCAATAAACGGTAGTTTTTATGAGGATGACTTTTATTATTATCATTATTGTTATTTCACACAAAATAACTGAAGATTAAGGGGTGAAAACGGTGGCATATGTTTATTCAGTATTTACTATATGCCAAGTACTGAGGCTAACTAGTTGAGATTTAGCCATGGACATGATACACATGGCCCCTGGTCTCCTACAAATTTTGGATAGAGTGACAGCAGAGAGAAGCCATAGTTTGAGATGTTAGAGAAGACATAAAAACTTTATAAAATAAGATAAATTTTGCAGAAATATAAAAGCACAGGAACTCATATAGAGAAAGAAAACACACTACTTAACCTTAGTAGTAGTACTAAGTACTATGTAGTAGCCTGGAGGCTCCTGTGGGTGTGTTTTAACCAACACTAGCTGATTTTCATAATGATGAACTAGTCTTCAAGGGAAAGTAGTGAGGTTTTTCATATACTGTTTAATTAGTAAATGAAATGTGTAGCAAAAATTTTAAAGGAGTAACTTTTATTGTTTGAAAAATCTGCTATGTGAGAAACCTCATTCCTTTTTATCATTCTACTTTTTATTATTTCTTAAAACTTCTTCAGTCTCCTCCCTTCGCCCACATTTTAAAAAAGTCAGCCCTCACATAATTTAATCCCATAACAAGGTTGCATGTGTAGCATAGCACTGTTTCTTACCACCCTGCTCTCTATCCCAAATGACACAGCTGCCTTGTCCTTTCCTAATTAGTTTTTTCCATATTTATTTGATGACCCTCACTTCATGCCTTCTTCATCTGTTAGCAGTGGACCACCTAAGGCTTTTAGGATGAATATAGAAGCCCAGCTTATTCAGTATGCCAGAAAATAAAGTCACCTCAAATTTAAGACAATACTCCATTTCCTCAATAACAATCCAAAAAAAAGAGATTTTTTTAGGCTAATATCAATATGTAAACTTTAAGGTAAGTACATGAAATAAGAAAATTTCTTCTTAGGATATTTAATTTTTCAATTTAGTTACACACCTTTAAAATAACATGTTACCTGAAATATTTTAATTTATAAATTCTTCATTTTGCTCTCACATTTCATTAGTTCAAACTCCTCACATGGCTTATTGACATCAGTGACTTTTTGTCATCACGAGAACTATTTTTTGAGTTATCTAGCATAGTTTTCCAGAGCACATCGTGTTTACTTACATTTTAGTTGTTTTAGATACAGCACTTTCCATATCCATGTGTGACTGGAAGTTTTATCTCAGACGAGATTCCTACTTGAATATATTAAAGCAGGTGGTTTTTTGTTGGATCTCTAGGTTATATGATAGCCATAACTTAACCACTTACCATATTTCTTTTTCAAGTGATCTTTTGAAAACTTGCTTTATAATGATCCAGTGCCTGCAATGTTCAGTCCTTTCCCAGGAATGTTTATTAAATTGATAGTAAAATTTTGCTACCTTTTTTAATGATTCTATCAGACGATCTTTTTAAGCATCCCTATATACCATTGATTGAGGTTGTTTCAGACTAAGATATCTTCACAAATATGACTTTGTTGTTCAAAATAAAGAGATTAAGAGATGTCCCTTATTTAAGAAACTTTGTAAAGATTCAGTTGTAAGGTAACTTCCTCTTTTCTGAAGAAAATTTTAATTCCCCTTATATATAGACATGTATGGGAATATAGGTAGGCAGTTGTAAATAAGGAGAGGTTTTAAATTTAGTAAATGAAAATTTGGCTTAATACAATAAGTTCTCTACAGTAGTGGTTTTTAAACTCTAGTGTGTCCTGGAGGGCTTGTTAAAACACATTGCTTTGCCCCACTGGAGTTTTTGATCCAGTGGGTCTGGGGTGAGACTTAAGAATCTATATTTCTCACAAGTTCCAAATGATGATGATGTTGCAGTTGGGGACCCTACTCTGAGAAACAAGTGCTCTACAAAGTAGTTTAAATTACATAGAGCAATATTTTGCTTTCTTTTACACTACAGGTATGTATGAACAAAATGTTACTGATTTCGGAAGAGAAGGGATCTAGAACTGCAGAAATTACTGGCTGTTGCATTAAAATATTCTTTTAATGACATAGATTTCCTGCACATTGAAAGAAAATAGTCAATAAATCATTTTTTAAAGCAGCCGTAAACCTTGGTATCACTTCAGATTATTTTACAGAGTGAAGTTACTGATCTGAAATAAAATTGATTGTAAAATGCAAGTATTTATTATCACTATATAGTATTTTCATTAAAAAGGAATTTATTTTCCTTATCAAATAAAATTTTAGAAATAGTACATTGCTGTTGGAAAGAAAATGTATTGTGGTATTTAGGAACTAAATCCATCTAAGTAGTTGAGACATATGAGCTGGGCTCTGGTTTTGTTGAGATTAACATCTCTAAAGTAAATGAATGATCAGCCCTACCACAGGAAAGACATTTTAAAGTTAATAAAAACTAGCAAGTGACCTAATTTTATTATAAAACAGTAGATAAATTGAAAAATAGGAGTGTAATCAGTAATATCAGAGCTTATTATTAAAAACTTACCTGAGAAATTCAATCTAAACTTAAATTAGAGTAACCTGAGAAATAGGTGGAACTCTCTTGCGTGACATAGTTTATAATTGCACTGAAGCTTTGAACAGTTTTAAAACAACAACAAAAAGCTCATATTCCTTTTACTTTTGTTTATATTTCAAAAAGGAATGGTCTAGTGTATCAAGAGCCATCCAAGTATTTCACCTGGTAATATGTCTTTTGGAAACTTATCCTAAGTAGTAGTACAAACAAAAGAAGTTATAAGCACAAAGATTTTTGTTTCAGAATTCTTTTAGAATAGCAAAAACTTGGAAGCAACCTAAAATGTCTAATTACAGGGGGAAAGGTCATTAAATTACAGGATAGCTACTGAATGAAAACTATTTGACCATTTAAAATGTTCATTTTAAAGATTATATAGAACTGTGGGGTAATTCTTAAGATTTAAGAGCAGAATATAAAATTATATTTTAAAATACATATGCATATGAGGAAAGGTAGAAGAGAAAATCCAAAAATAATAATAATAATTTTGTTAGGGTAGTTATTGAATGAACGATTTTTTTCCTACATCTCAGTCCAGTGTGTTGCTGTATGTGTGTTTTTTGGTAACAAATTAGACCATATCAAGTCCTACTTAGGAAGCTACAATTCTTGACTTGTATTGGATTTGCCCTACAGGTACTGAAGTCAGGCCTTGTAAGTTTTGGAAATGATGCAAGCCAGAAAACCCCTTTGCCTTCTACCAAATAGATAACTAAAGTTCCACTGTTGATTTAAGAGCTTCTGTTTCTGTTTTTTAATTTGTTATTTCAAGATTATGAGAATACAGTCTTGATTACTGTGTGACATTTATGAGAGTTTTACGTTTTCTTTTTTTTATTCTTGGAAATTTGCTTCACAATGAGGTTATATTGATAGTCATGCAGTATGTTTCTGTAGAAAGGCAAAGTAATGGTTCTTTTTATTTTTCTTTTACAGAAAAGAGCTGATCCTCTCTGGCACTTTAAATCCAATTAAGGACTTACATCTAGGAAAACTGGCCTTAACTAAGTTTCCAAAGAGTCCAGAAACATGGATTCACAGGTTTGGTTAATTTACACCATAGGATTCTTACTTAGAATTTAGAATGCCTGGAGAAAAAAAAAACAAACACAGAATGTGAAGCAGGTCACACAGTGATTCAGAGTATGAATTCTAAAGTCAAATTATATCTACATTTAAGTCTAGATGCCATCACTTTATGTGATCTTCAGAAATTGTTTAACCTCTTCAAGCTTTGGTTTTATCATTTGCAAAATGGGAATAATAATTATACCTATCTCAGAGTAAATGGTTGAGTTTACATCAGATAATGCATGTAAACACTACCATAGTGCCTGGCATATATGAAGTACTCAGTAAGTTTTAGCTATTATTATTAACTATCTGAAGCAATCATGGAAATTGCATTTAGATATTCAACTGTAATGAGCAACTTGAGTTTTATTAAACTTGGATTTAATTCATTCAAGTGTGTTCCTGGTAAAGATGGTGGTGGTGATGGTTATGGTTATGAAAATTAACCAAATAAGGGCAACTGAGGTGAATGGTGTGTGGGCTGAACTAGAGTTGCTAAGACCATAAATGCAAAGAATATTTTTAGGTTAAAGGCCTGAAGCAGATATCTAAAGTGCATGTAAGAACTCTTTTCAAAATCCTGGCTATCTGGAAGCATCCTACTCTTGGATCCCATGTAACTACTCTCTTTTGACTAAAATGAGATGGTGTAGGCTTACTGGTTGGGGTCAGTGAGGAGAATCTCTGAAGAAATCTGTTCTTAAGCCCCTTATAACTTTTTTTACATCCTGAGTATTTTTAGGATCTTAAAGTCAGTTTAAGGTATCTTAACTGTAATGTTGCCTTTGGCTAGCCTTGCAGAGCAGCGACTTCCAAATGATATAGTTAGCTGTATTTTCTTCCTACTAGAAATAAGGATAGCAGACCACAGAGAGATATATGATTGTGTGCATAGATAGGAAAGGGATGGTGGCAGGGGAAGGGAGTTATTAAATATGCAGCCATCAATTTATTGGCTTATTATTTTATAAAGCAAGTTTTGGTTGTTAAAAATAACTTCTGTTATTTGAATATGACAAAATGAGTTTTCTTACTCAATTTTCTGTACCCTGGGTTGGAAATTTTTAATCTAAAAAGAATGCTTTCTTATGAGAAAATATTTGTAAAACCTGAAGACATTAAGTGGTTAGAGACACTTTTTTAGTGCTTTTCATTTAAATGTATGCTAGTGAAAATCTTAAATAGACAAGGGGAAAATCTGTGGATAAAGACATTTTAAAACCTCCTTGGTGGTTTAACTAATCATATTGTATTTGTTTCCTTCCAGATTCTGTGCTATAATATAGAAATTTTGCTTCATGAAAGCTTAATACAGCTTCTTGTTTGCAAACAAACAAATACACGTAGGATGAGGCATGCACATATAATGAAAAGTGAACCGGGACTTCCCTGGTATCCCAGTGGTTAAGACTTCTCCTTCCAATGCAGGGGATGCAGGTTCAATCCCTGGTCAGGGAACTAAGATCCCACATGCCTCACCGGCCAAAAAACCAAAACATAAAACAGAAGCAATATTGTAACAAATCCAATAAAGACTTCAGAAATGGTCCACATCAAAAAAAAAATCTTAATAAATAAATAAATAAAAGTGAACTATGTTCCTCTTGAGTATTTACCAGCCATTAATTAATATCACCCCCTCCCACACACACAGTACCACCACACACACACACGCACACACCCGTTGCCTTTACATTTCCTGGCCAAATGAAGTTTTGAAGTTGTCATTTTGGAACTGATGACATTCTCTTTTTGACAAATGTTAACATTTTGGAAAGCTTTTTGTTTAATCTTTGTCCTTTATTCCCCGCCACCACCCATATCCGTGCTGCTCAAATTAATTATGTCTTTAAAAACAAAAACAACAAAACAACCCCCCCCCCAAAAAAGAAGTTTGAAAACTGGGCATTATTTTGCATTGTCTATGAATGGAAATTAAATTGAGAATAAAGAAAACTCTGGTTGTTTCCCTCTGTGGTTTATTTTCTTTCCTCATTTCTTTCCCACATGTTACCTTAACAGGCGATGGGTGCTACAACAGCTAATTCAGGAAACCTCCTTGCCTTCCTTTGTGACCAAAGGGAACTTGGGAATAATTCCTGCAGAAAGGACACAGCAACTAATACGAGAAGAGATGGAGGTCTGTGGTGAAGCAGCAGGGAGATACCCAAGCAACTATAATGCCTGGTCCCATCGCATCTGGGTTTTACAGCACCTGGCCAAGCTAGATGTCAAGGTAGGGCTGTATTCTATGTCCCTAGGCATACTCCCTGCCTGCCATTTAAATCTTCTGGTAGTATATAGTAGTTCCTTCTCAGAGGAGCTTTAAAAGAGAGAAGTAGAGGAACTAATGACCCAGTAGGCCGGAGAGGATTGTAAGAGCTGATACCTCCCGAGAACTCCTGGTAATTTTTTTTTAAAAGTTTGCATTCAAAACCAGCATGGTTTTGACACTCTTAAGGCTAGTCCATTGGTAGAACAAAGCAGGTTTAAGCAGTAAGGAAGACTGAGCATAACTCATTTTGCCCTGAAACAGGAAGAGATTATTAAACCTTATAGAACTGAAATTGTTCTTTCTTGGTAGTCTTTTGTTTTGTGACTTAAAGTGCTAAATCAGCTCGCTGCCTTTTCACAATCTCCTCTGCTGGGGAGGGAACAGAGGATCTCACCCAGGTGTTCCCAAACTTGGCTGAGCCTGTAAATTACCTGAGAATTCCTGTGTCCCACCCCAGGCCTACTGAATTGAAATGAAAGTAGGATTTAGAGATCAGTATTTTTCGCAGGCTCAGGGGGTTATTTGGATGCAGAGCCAGGTTGAGAACTGTCACAGCCTAATCCTTTTAGTTTAGAAATGAGGAGATGGAAGTTTCCATAGAATTTTAATGGCTTGGACTTAGCCACGGTTGTATCATTTATTATTCATCAGAATGAGAGCCAGGTATCCTTGTGTTCCTTCTTACATACTACAGCTTCTCTATTTTTTTTTCCACTTCTTGTGGTATCAGTGCCTTAAGAATCTAGGGTACTATTCTAAAAGCTCCCCAGGCTTGAGACAATTTAAAGGGGTCAGAATGTCTCATGTGGTGCTTTCAGATTAATAGTGAAGCATTCTCTAATTTTTACTCACCACCCGCTTCCTACGTCTCCCTTCAGGTCCCCTCTCCCCTCTCCCCTCTCTGTGTCCTAGCCAGAGATTCCTCCAGGATAAATAGGAGAGCCTTCACTTCTGAGGGATTTTAAGCAAACAGTTCTGGAAGAGAAGCCCTTCCCTCCAGTTTACATGGCTTTGCATTTCAGGAGGGGAGGCTACCTAATGGAGTGGAAAGAGAAAAGACAGAATCACATTAACCTGAGTTCAGATTCTGGCCCTATTAGCTGTGTGTGTAAAGTAAGGCTTTAATGTTTTCATCTGTAAGATAGGGTCTCTACTGCCTGCCTCAGTGGATTACTGAGAATTACTTGGGGTAATGTGTATAAAGTACTGGGCACCTAATAGAGGATCGCTAAATTTTAGTTCCTTTCTCTGCTCCCCATAGATAGAAAACTTAGATGAAACTTGCCTACGAATTTGCTAGATCAACTTAGTGCAATTCATTCATGAAAAAGTAGTGAAACCCTATCATTCCCAGACACTGTTGTATACACTGGGTGAGGCATAAAGACAAAAAGCTTGCTCTCAACAAATTGAAAAATCTAGTTGAAGAAACACATACCGACAGTTACAAAGCAGTGTGACACTTGCAGGAACTGAGGGAATCTCCGGGTACAGTGGGATCACAGAAATGGCTCCTCATCCAGATGGGGCTCATTGGAAACAGCTGCCAGAGGGAGGGATGCTACACTGTGGGGGTGTCTGGAGGAATGAATTCAAGTTATCTGGTGGGTTGTGAGGGATATGGAGTGCTTTAAAACCAGTCATCTCCGCTCCACAACTTGGTATCCTGTGGGATGTGGAAAGAGGTAAGGGGAGGGTTGAGGATAAAGGAAGGCAGAGTCCAGGTAAGCTGAGAGGTCTTTGGAAACTTTCCGGCCTTTATGTGAACCTTTTAAAGTGGCATTCCCATAAATCAGAAACATGAGGCCAAAGTGAAATTCTTGGTTCCTTGAGACCATCCATTGTTGAAGATGACAACTCGTTAGTAATGTGTTGACTTATCTGCCCTGGTCCACTGCTAGCCTCACATGTTGTCAGTCTGCCCTCCTCTGCCCTTGGGGGGACTTGGCACTCTTCCTGTCATCACTGCCACTGTCTCTCACTCTCAGTGAAGTGCGCTGAATTTACAAAATCCCCTTTCTGTTCTTGTAAGCCATTGGGCCCAGCTAGGAGATCATGTACTATGCTTTGCCTGTTAGAGGAAGTAATCACAAAAGTACCAGTTGTCTAGAGCAGCTTAAAAATACATATGAATTGAGTGGCATCTTTTTACTTAGAAAACTGAAAATGATTTTTTAAAGTGCTGATATTCAGCATTGATAAGGGTATAAAAACAAGCATTGTAGAAATTGGTATAATCTTACCAAAGGGCAACATGGCAGCATTTACCAGACGTTACCCCCCAAGTGTTATCTCTAATCTAGCAGTTCTGCTTCTAGGAATTCATCCTAAAGAAAAAATGGGAGGTGCAGTATGATATAGTGATTAAAGGCTCCACTCAGTGGTCATACAGACGTAATTTGAATCTTGACTCTCCCACCAATTTGCTGTGTGGCCTTAAGAACGTTGCTTAGCCTCTCTAACCTTCAGTTTTCTCATCTGTAAATTGGGGATGATGATAATTCCTACCTCATTGAGTGACGTAAATTAAGTGGGAGAATCTACATAACGTGACTATCACAAGTGCTCATACTACTTGGTCAATAAACACTGGCTGTTATATTAAATATGGGAGTTTGGTATATAAAAATACTGTTTATAATAGTGAAAAACTGGAAACAGTCTAATCCTCTAGTAACAAGGGATTGGTTACATTACAGTCCATCACAAAGTGGAATATTTTATTGCTACTAGAAATTATATTCTAGAAGATTATTTAAAGAAAAATGTTAATTATAGGTTAAGGATGTAAAACTAAATAAGAGATGGGCCTACTACAATTTTTTTATGTTATTAGCATTGAATGATATTTAATGTGTTTAGAACAGTACCTGGCATATTGTAAGTGCTCAACAGATATTTATACACACAAACACAGTGCTGTTACAGATATATTTTCTTATATTTTCTATAAGCATGCATTTTCTAGTCAGAAAAAAAAGGTTAGAGAATAAAGAATGTTTACCAGTGCTAGGGAGTAGAATTATGAGAGGTTTTAATTTTCTATTTTTTGTTCCCTGTAATGTTTGTGTGTTTCAGTGGACATATACTGAAGTAAAATTTTAAAATAGTCTAATTTGAGGGTGGGGTGGAAGGAAATAGTCACAGTTGAACAGAGTTCATTACTACTAGCCAATTGAAAGCTGATACCATGTGTCACCTGAAAAAGCACATAGGGTCATTTCTCCAAAAAAGATATACAAATGACCAAGAAAGACATGAAAAGATGTTCAACATCATTAACCACTGGGGAAATGCCAATCAAACCACAGTGAGGTACCATTTCACACAACTAGGATGACTAAAATAAAAAAGACAATACAATTGTTGACAAGGATGTAGAGAAATTGGAACCCTTATACATTGGTGGTAGGAATGTGAAACAGTGCAGCCACTGGGGAAAAGTTTGGCATTTCCTCAAAAAATTAAACATAGAAACACCATGTATGACCCTGCAATTCCACTGCTAGGTATATATCCAAAAATATCGAAAACATATATTCATACCAAAGCGTGTATGAGAATGTTCATAGCAGCATTACCCATAAAAGCCAAAAAAAAAAAGTAATACCCCAAATGTCCAGTATCTGAGGAATAGAAAAACAAAATATGGTATATCCATACAGTGGTCTGTTATTCAGCCATAAAAAAGGAATGAAGTTCTGATAAATAGTATATAACATGGTGAACCTTGAAAACAATATGCTGATTGAAAGTAGTATTCCATTTATATGACATATTCAGAATAAGCAAAGCAGATTAGTGGGTGCCAGAGGATAGGGGGAATGGGGAATTAGAGGACTCCTAATAGGAATAGGGGTTGTTTTGGAGATGATGAAAATGTTTTGAAATTATAATCATCAGAGATAGGCAAATCAAAACAACCTCACTCCTCTCAGAGTGGCTGTCATCAAAAAGTTTATCATCAAAAATAACAAATGTCGGCAAGGATGTAGGAAAAAGGGAACCCTAGTACACTGTTGGTGGGGATATACATTGGTGCAGACACTATGGAAAACAGTATGGAGGTTCCTCAAGGAACTAAAAATAGAACTACCGTATGATCCAGCAATCCCACTCTTACTTTTCATAAATGCTGCTTTTCTTTTTATCATTCCATTTGAAATTCTTTAGTCTGCAGATTTAAAGAATTCACTGCTGAATTTTGTCTTACCTACTTAAAAAAGCCATTTATCATTGATGTTAAGTAAGTGAGACAGATAGTGAAAGTCATGAGCACTTGAAAATTCCTGTTATTCTTGCATCATGTTTTTGTAGTAAACCCTTAGAATTAAGTAGTGAACAAAACAGACATGGTCCCTGCCCTGATGACACTTACAGTGAAGAAGAAATAATTACATTGAGTCTATTGTTGAACAAATAGTAAGTTAGGTATAATACAGCTTCATTAAATGCAAAAGAAAGTTTCCATCAAAGTGATCTCTGAATTTATATTTTTCCTTCAATATAAGCATTACTTGAAAATGAACACCCAAATGTCTATCATTATTTTAGAATCTGTCTTTTCTATGTGTGTGCCAATCAGAATGTGATCAAAGTCTAGGGAAAGGTCCGTAAATTCTGTGACAGTAAAAAAAAAAAAAGAAAAAAGAAATCAATTACTTTATAAAAGAAAGGGAAAATTAGAATTTACTGAGCTTCCACTAAGTGCAGGCTTCCACTAAATGACAACACTGTGTTGGGCATTATATACAAATCGGAAGAGAAATCCAAAGCATTAATGGAGAAAGTAAAACCTTTGGCAATTCCTCATTTCACTTCCCTTTTTTCTTCCTCCAAGATTCTTCTTGATGAACTATCTTCTACTAAACACTGGGCGTCCATGCATGTTTCAGACCACAGTGGATTTCACTACCGCCAGTTTTTATTAAAGTCTTTGGTTAGCCAAACTGTGACAGATGGTTCTGTATTGGAGCAAAATACGTTGAGAAGTGAGCCAGCTATAGTTCTTCCAAAAGGTGAAGAAGCAGTGGCTTCAGCAGAGGAATCAAGGATAAATCTTCCCCATCTTCTAGAAGAAGAAGTTGAATTCAGCACTGATCTTATTGATTCCTACCCAGGACATGAAACCCTTTGGTGTCATAGGTAAGAGAAAGGAAGATCTATTTCCTGCATAAAACTGTGTGTGTCCTTATGAGAGCTACAGAAGGTCTTACATCTGACTCGTGCCTACTTGGGTAAATATGGTAATCTGATTGTGGAACTTTGCCTGAGTGCTTGAGAGGAGTTTGTGTTACCATGTACTCCTCCTCATGATCATGATCAATATGAAGTTCCTCACACAGATCTTTGCCAACGGCTCAAGATGGTGGCGTTCATCCTTGACTGTGCCACAGAATAAGGTGTGTTACTTTCAAACTAAAGAAAGTTTCTGGACTCCCTCCTTGGAGATCCTGATACTTAGCATATCTGGGATAGAGTGCTGCCATCTGTTTTTTAAAATATAAAGAAAAAACCCTGACAGGTAAATTTGATGCACAGTCAGGGCTGAGACCATTGATTAGACCCTGAGAATAGTTAGACATTTTTATTGTTCTTCCCAACCGTGATGGCCTGCAGATTAATTTACCTTAAGTATAATCTCTTGACACTTTTTGCTTTTTTAAAGTAAAATCTACTTTGGGAGTGAATCAGGATTATTAGGAAGGAGTGAAAGAGGGTTAGCAACCTCATAACTTGAGTTTTAAGAACCTTTGACTGTACTTTTCATGTTGAAATGAAATCCAGGTATGGGAACCCCCGATTGATTTATTTTGGATTATCATTTAGTTGGAGGCATCTCTGGCATTATATCTACAGATTTTACTTCAAGTTACAGGATTCTGTTTGTAGACAAAAGAGTTGCCTGTGTTAGGCAGGAGGTAGGCATTTTAAATATTTGTGTATTTTTTAAGTTAAATGTGATTTGTTCCCTTTTTCCAGTCGAAATATAGTTGGAAGATATATTAGAAGATGGAAGGCAGTCCCCCTCTTTGGCATCTTCATAAATACAGAATTTTCTTTTTCCCTTAAAAACAAAACATTTTTATTACACATTTTTAGGAGAGAAGATAGATCTTGACTTGTATGTTTTGCTGTTACAGATTTTTTTATTGCTGTTTTATATTTAGACACATTAATAGCAAGACTCAAAGAATATTAAAAATTCTATTTGTGTTTGAGAGAGAGCTAGATCATTAGAACAGAAACTTTATTTGTTTATATAAAGATTAATTGGAGTTTGGAGTGGGGAGAAGAGACAGTTGGGATGACCTGTATATTACAGGAATGAATTATATTTTCTACTGATTCAGTGCCCTTATGCAGCTTATCAGCCCTTTTAAGGTTTGTCCTTTGTAAAATGGGTGTTATATGCTCCTTTGTCTGCTCCCAGATAAGCTGGGAAAATGAATAGAATTCTCTTTTAAGGGCTTAGAGTTATTAATATGAATGATGAAGTATAACAACCTAGAAACTACCTAAGGTAGTTTACCTTATTTCGTACAGAGATGTGCACCCCTTTGAGTCACAATTTTTGGAAATTAGGCACATGGATCTTCATTTTTAACAAATAACTCCAGATGATTCTAAAGGCAGGAGAACTCTCCTTAGAGGAAGAACAGGAACTGTGTCTTTTAACATACTTTTCTCAGAGCCCAGCACATCCCTACTGCATGTTGGTGTTTAATAAGACTATAGTGCTGGATTTAGGGGAGAATTCAGAGGGTTTCTAAGATAGTAAGTCCAACCACAGCAGTTCTGTTCTTATTAAAGAAAGTATTGGATAGAGGCCATATGCTAAGCCTCTAGAGGAGCTATTTAATTCTCTTGTTTCTGAAAATCACTTGTCTTTTAGGATATCAATGAGGTTAATTTTTGGTTTTGTTATATTTTAACTTATAACAGAGATTGAGCTAAGACCCATTTCTAGTTTCATATTATAGTAACAGGTGTAACAACGCAAAGTGATTGTCATCATCTCAGTCCATTTTTTTTAAACACCTTCGGGGTAGTATTCTTTCTCACAAACCAGTAATCTGGGTGTGTGAGGCTCTGTCCAAATACCCAGAGACTACATCTTAACTATTCTTCCTCCTTCCCCCAGATAGGTCTGGGTTACGAAGGGGGCACTGAACTGAGTACTATGTGTTTTAAGATTATCGAATTTTTTGTCTTTTCTGAAAAGCTTGACTTTGTGATGTGATTTTTCTTTTTCTATTCTCTTCCTTACCCTCCTCTTTCACAGGCGGCATGTTTTCTACCTTCAGCATCACTTAAATGGTAGGTTTCCTCACAGCGTGGTCCAGTTGTCACCTGCAGACAGCCCAGGGGGGACTTTGAGTGACTTGCACCTCATCCCAGAAGGACCGCATACATCTCAGGCAATGGAGGTGGATGGACTCATTGACTCTAGCAAGCAAGGCTATTCCCAGGAAACCAAACGCCTGAAGCGGACCCCTGCTCCAGACTCCCTGGGCCTGGAAATGGAGCACAGGTTCATCGATCAAGTATTGTCCACCTGCCGGAACGTGGAGCAGGCCAGGTTTGCCAATGCATACAGGAAATGGCTGGTTACATTGAGTCAATGAAAGAGGTGGATTAGTCCTGCAAGGTTCCCCTTTTAGTGCAATATTGCTTTCCTTTCTTATTTACATAGTTGCATGAACTGTTTGCTATTATCGTCTAACTGTATGTGCTTCATCTTTAGGTTAAAAGTCCATAGTAAATCTTTCATTTTATTTATTTTGTTAAGAACTGGCATTCCTTTGGGGATAAAATAATTGTGTAGTTCCTTCCT